TAGAAGATTATGTTGACGACAGGTGTGAGAGGCAAACATGTGAGATACATTCCATGGCCAGTTCCTACCATTGAACATGAACTGTTACGTATAGAAAAAGACTTCAAAATGGGGGGTCGCAAATTGGAGCTTCTATGGCCCTCTGGATCTTCTCTGGTATACTATCCCTTTATTTCGGCCAATTTCTACTATTTTTCCAGCGATCCGCGGTGCCTGGTAGAGGCTAACGTTCTAAGCAATCGAACGGTGATGAGAATGAAGTCTAACATTTCAACAGACGTTAACAAGTGTTAACAGAATTCATCAGAGACGCATCGCTGAGCCATCCGTGCTCACGCGGCATTGCGCACCTTCTGTCATTCCCGCGAACAGCCCCCGGTAATGCCTCTATACTGCCTGCACCACCGATGTACAGTCAAAAAACTTACCCTAACTCTCTGTATGAAGGACTAATTAAAGTACGTAATAAAGGAACTTCTATGGCATCTCTAAGACGCCTTGCTAAATCTACCTACGACTTTTGAAATTGGAAATGAGAGCTTTAGCCACTAAACTACGGTATAGCATACCTATAGTTAGGTTATTACGGACTGTGTACATAGCAAGAATCTAGAGGGTGATGACAGCAAGTTCAAGGAATGAGGTTAACTAAAGTCTTATTGAGGCGTTGTGATGAACGAACAGCTGCTTGGGCGGGTGGTGGAATTTGCCGCGCCTAGAGGTGAACACGTCCTCTCTTCTAGCCCTGAATAGCTGTCAGTGCACGAATTTGTGATACCTTGTCTCTTTCTCTGTAAAATACTCCTCCGGGGTCCACGTAACAGACATACTGGAATGACAACAGGTGTTTCTTAATCTTATGAGTATCGGCGAAATCTAAAAACATCACTGTAGACATTATTGATCCCGTATTTTAGTTATAGCCGGTCCGTTACCGACAAATCGCAGGTGAGGGAAGTCACCCCCAGCAGCCCCCTTTTGATCTTGAAGCTCACCTTAGTTTGTTATGATTGAATGCGTGGAACTAAAACAACTTGTCCTGGCTTCCACTGTAGCATCCAGTCAAGTGTGAACACTTTTCACACGATATGCTTGAGGACAAGATGAAACTTATAAATTACTGACAGGCTTTTGCATAATAATAAATAAGATTTTCTTTGTCACGCAAGGTTTTCACGGACCGTTTTTAGTTAGTCTGAGAACAAGAGGAAGTTGCAACGTTACAGATGTTGAAGAGATGTCGGTTGTGGTGGTGTTCTTTATGCTATAGTAACTAAGATGAATACAACTAAATGGTTGAATAGGTTACTTTTTGTTATAACTTTATAACTGGTTGTCGTTTTTGTACGTTATGCAACCAAGCAGTGTATTTTCCAGGCCAGTGCTTTAAAGTTATAGCCTCTTGTTGCCACGCTATCAGACAGTCATGCATTGACTCAGTTTCACAAGTAACCTCTGACATCTTCTGTGTCAATCAACTGATAAATGACAGCCAATGAACGCTTGCGTGTTTGTTTTGTCTTCTTAGGGCGTCATTTCACCTCTGCCTTCGTTATTCAAGATGCCGCCTGTCAGACATGGCTCGATGGACACTGTGACTGATGTTCTAGGGGCGGTGGTGAGGGTTTCTGCATATATTTACGTACTGTTATAACTGTTTCACACCAAGTCTGCATACAGCGCCAATGTTTATACGGTGTTCCACTAGATCAGAGTAGGTAGGCATTTAGATTAGAAATACTCTGTACAGCTTTGCATCAAATAAAGAATCGAAATGCCTAGTACCTACTCTGATCTAGTGGAACACCGTATAAACATTGGCGCTGTATGCAGACTTGTTGTGAAACAGTTATAACAGTAC